CTGGGTCACTGCACAGCAAAGAAGTTCTTCCTCATGTCCAGCTGGAACTTGCTGGGATCAGTTCCTGCCCGTTCCTCCTGTGCCATTGCTGGGCCCCCCGAGCAGAGCCTGGGCCATCCTCTGCCCCCTCCCTGCAGCCCCTGACACACATGGATGGGGTCCCCTCTCAGTGTCTGCTCTGGAGGCTGAACAGCCCCAGCTCCCTCAGCCTTTCATCATAAGAGATATCATCATTATATTTAGAAAAGCAAAAGAGTGTTTGGTTTGCTTTTAATATTTCAAGTAAGTACAAAGTAAACGTGGTACACTTAGCTTTCTCCAAAGATCTAAAGGGATCCCCAAAGAGCTTTGAAAATAAACTTTCCCTTAATTGGGAGGAAAGATTCAGCAGGCTGTGGGGGTGAAGAAGCAGAGCAGAGCATAGCATAGCCTCTTTCCCTGCCCTTCCAGCTTTGATTTGCAGACAGCACAGAGAAGGCTCTACCACAATTCTTTAATACCTGAATGCAACTACTCTGTACCTGCAAGGGGCTGCAGAAGGGTGAGAGTGTATCAGCAACAGAGATGCAAAGCCATGTGGTTTTCTGGGCTTTTCTTCCCCCTAAAAGGTTAGAATAGACCTTTCCTACCTGCCTTTCCATCAGCGTTACATTTACTGAGGTGACCAATAATTTACAGTACGAGGCATGAACTAGCTGCAGTTGGTGGGAAAATTACTAGACCTATTAAAGAGCTCCCACTGTCTTCCAGCAGGGAAAGAATTTCATTCTGCTTGTGCTGGTTGCATGAGATTTGATGGGAATTTTGCTTTTTAGGGCAGCACAGAATAAAGAGCGACTACATAGTTCCTGGACAAATTAAAAAACACACAGCAATTGCAACAGAAGAGTTTGAAAAGACTCTTGGAACAAGCATTCAGGATAGCTTCGCTGAAACACAAAGGAAAATTCCCTGCATTTCTTGCCCCCACAGAAAGATTTGGGGAAATGTAAAATAAAAACACAACCTAACTGGTACTCTGAGATTGGAAACACCAAGCAATTATGTTGTGTGGGTTTTTTGTGGTGTGTTTTTTGTTGTTGTTGTTGTTGTTTTGTTTGTTTGTTTTTCTGGAATCTCAATGCTAAAACTTTCTTCCCTTTGCCTCAGAAACTTCCCTAAACACAGGAGTCAGTCCAGCCTGTGCCCATCCAGTTGTTTTAAGCATGATTTTTCTATGTTGCCCCTTCTTAAAATCCTCAGGCTGTCCTTACATAAAGTGTAAGGATCATGGTGGGCAGAGATTGTTTGCAGATGGTAAGCAGAGGACAACACAAAATGCTTTCCCAGGCCACGTAGTAGTGAAACTTTAACCCAATTGTCTGTGGCTTCTCAGCATCCAGCCAGCTTTCTTCAAAGGAAAGGACAGGCTGTGGCCCAATTAAGTTAAATTTTAGCCTCTGTGCCCCAATTCTGAAAATACACATTCACTTAATGACAACAGATTTAGTCAAATCTCTCAAAACATGGAGATACTCAGCACATCCATGCAGTTCATATTTCATATTTAATTCCTATGTCATATTAAATTCATATTTCCACCCATTATTTTTTCTGTTTGTCCATATCTGTTTATTTTTTGCTCATGTGTTCATTTCAGCAACATTTGGTTTTTTCCTTTTGTTTTCTTCTCCCTGGCTCATTGTATTTTGGAGTTCATTCCTTTTTTTTTTTACCTTAAATTTATCTAGTATTGGCAGGATTATTCATTGATGATGGTGTTTCCCCAGCGTGTTTGCCCAAATGCTTCTTCAGTGCTTGTTCTGTGACTGTGACACTCATCAGTGCACATTTTATATGCCTGCTGACACCACCTACCCAGATCAGAGGCTTTAGAACCACACCCTTGGCACCATCACCCCCAGGGAACACCATCATAAAGTGAGGAATGCAGCCAAATTCAGGGAAGGAATAAAAAGCAAGCCAGGCAAATGTAGGTCAAGGTGAGTTTATTGTCCATACAGCATACCTAATCCCGCCAAAACACTTGTCTTAGAACCATCTTTAAACTAGTCAAAAGAACAGGTTATTAATAAAAATGACAACACTGAACAAAGACCTTTTAAAAGGTAATCAAGACTACACCGTATCAGAGTCTTATCCATCAAAAACAACCTCGTGTACTTTCTAAATACTTTTTGTTTACACTGATGTCTACTACCACACTTTCTAGCATCCCCTGACCACATAAAAACATCCACACCTCTTAAAGAGCACATTTGTGAGAGAATAACATTGACTTGATATGGCATCACACTCAATAAAGCCAAAAAAAAAAATTAAACAAAACAAAACCAAAAAAAAAAAAAAAAAAAAAAAAAAAAAAAAAAAAAAAAAAAAAAAAAAAAAAAAAAAAAAAAAAAAAAAAAAAAAAAAAAAAAAAAAAAAAAAAAAAAAAAAAAAAACCAAAACCCAAAAAAGTTTGAGAACAGAAACTGTGCAACCGAGAGTGATTTCTGAG